TTGCCTAAAGACAAAGACAGTTCTTACATTGCCTCTGTCACCTTCACCAGGTGCACATTATTGAAAATCCTCAATGGCAGCACATTTTATACTTTGAAGATGGATTTGGTTCTCAGAAATACCTAAAAGCTACTAAGAGTCAAGTTTAATGTAGGTGGCAAATCTGGGAAACATTTTTCTGGAATTATGAACTTTCACCCCCCATCCTCCACCCCCTGATGGAGGAGCCTTTGACAGGATGACTTCTTGTGATGACTTCTGGAGGTCAACCAGACCTTTTGTTCCTTCTCTTTAGTATACAGAGGAAGACTTTAGTTCTTCTCAGGATTGATGACCTAGAGACCCAGAGAATGAATATATATATATATATATATATATATATATATATATATATATATATATAGTCTTTTCTCCAGCACCTTCATTTTTATGCTAGGCCCTTTGTCTCTGCATTGAGCCCTCTTGAGGTAACTCAGGTGCTTACTATGGACCAGGGGTGGGGAAGGTCTAGTTCTGAAGCTCTTCCAAGCTTCCAAGAACCCAGAAGAATAATCAATGAGCTCTGTGCTCCAGGTCCTCGTGAGAGGATTTCATAGGGTTGGAGTAGAGGGGATGAAAAGAGAGGAGTTGCACATCTAGTTTAGAATCCTTGGCCCTCGAAGGTTACATGACTGCAGGTGCTCATCCGCCCACCCCGAGGCCTTTGTGGGGAGAGAGGAAGGAGGATAGCAGACTCCTCTTCCTCTCTCCCCACCTAATCCGTGCTCAACTCCTTTACCACTTGAGTAACTACTATTTTAATCTCTCACACCTTCTCTGCTGCTTAAGATGGATAAAGGAAACATAGGCCTTCTGGGGTTAAAGGAAGGAAAGAAAGAATCATAATGGCTTTGCTTTTGTTTTCTGTTTATTTTATTTTAATGTGTTTATTTCTAAATTTCTTTTAAAAAATCAGACATCTTGCATTGTGAGGGTTAATATCCTATGGCTACATCTCCAGGTCTGCATTTAAGATTCATACTCTCGCTGCTAGCATAATTCTTGGGCCTTTGGGACCTGTGAGAACATCTGTCTCCTTCTGAAACCTTACAAAGTCGCCTTCTATTAATTTTGTTTGGTTAGAGCCTGTGTCAAATTTCTCCTTCCCAATTTCCTGTTTTCTTCACCCTCTGATATCAGGCAAAGAGACGTTATAAATGATGGTGGAGTGTGCTAACTATTGCTTTTGGTATTGTAGGTGAAGCATATATAGGTGTGAGGACCTAACTGTCATTTCTAACATCATCTATATGAAAGATGGATACATCTAAAGAAACATCTTCTATGTTCCAAACAAAGAGACATATATGCAAACCAGTGGACTTAGTGTTGCCATGGAAACAGTCTCTATGCGTATGCATGAGTGGTCATACACATCACATACATAGAGGCAATGGCCTGGGGCATTCTCTACATAATGACCCTCTTGGGGCCTTGGTAAATCTCTGGCCACGCTAAGTATTCCTTAGGGTAGGCTACACTGCTCTAACAAACAGCCCTGTAAGATGATGGTGGTTTGGGGGCTTCCTCTCCTAACAGTACAGGACAGATGCTCTGAGTCGGGGTTGGGAGGCACTCAGGCTGATGGTGGCTCTGCCATCTTCAAACCACAGGAAGGGTAAAGGCTGGGAGGCCGAGCTGTGTGGGAGGTGTTACAGCCCGGGCATGGGAGTAAATTGCCTCCCTTAGACTCATGGTGGTTTGGCTAGAACTCAGTCCTGTGGCCTTTCCTAAAGCAGAGGAGGCAGAGGGATGAGTGTCAGCCCGCTGCGCGCCCAGGAAGGAGAGGCAGATTGTGGTGGCCCACCAGCCGCCTCCACCGTGCAGTGGGCAGAGTTTCCTTTAGACTCAGTCTAATCAGATGGGAAACCCCGAGGGGCCGTTGGAGGAGTATCAGCATCTGTTTCAGGCTGAGATGGACCAGTGGGAAGTTCTGAGCCCACACTCAGAGAGTCACCAGCACACCCACCTCTTGGGTCTTGGGGGCTGCAACTGCCATGTCCTGCTCTGACATCCCCCCTGATTCCTGGCTCAGCTGGACTCCATTGTTCCCTCCTGTGTCCTGCGCTCAGTCAGCATGACCCTGCTCAGGCCACGGTCCACCCTTGCAACCAGGATCTGCAAGCAGGCTTTCTGGTTCCTTATTCAGCTGCCTGCTGGCCTCCTCCGCTTTTGGCTCATGTGCCTTGAGAGTTCTCTTTGGTTTTTCCTAATGTGGACAACAGCACGGGGCTTGGAGATCCCAGCCTGACACCTTAGGCCCAGGCCCCGGCCTTGGCTTTAGCACATTGGTCTCCTCTTTCGTTTCTCTCAACTCCGTGTTTCCTTCCTCCTGGCTGGCTGCTGGTTTGACTTTCCTGAAGCCGTCCCTTTCATATTCAGAGACAGGAGCCTGCTGCTTCCCCAAACTCCAGAGTGCATCTATGCTAAGGGCCCGAGGCCTCATTTTCTGGATCTCACCTTCTCCTCCCTGAGGGGAACTCTCTAAGCCGGAGATCTTGTGTGGCTCAGGCAATTCAGAAAGCACACAGATAAAATGTATTCAGTAAGAATCCTTCACTTGTCACTTCATGTATGTCAACAGCCTTGTAATAGAATTTTTTTATGTAGGTGGTTTGTCACCACCTTCTCCATCTAAGTTGACAATCCTTGGTCTAGATTTAATGAATATTTTATTATGTCCTATGTATCCTGGCTCATATACACTGAGTGGCCAGATTATTATGATCTCTGAACACATAATAATTTCGTCACTCAGTGAGTGTATTAGAGGCCCAGTGCATGAATTCGTACATGGGTGGAATCTGACCAGCCTGGCCAGGGGGACATGGGTGGTTGGTTGGCCTGCCTGCTGGTCAAACTCCTGGTCGAGGGGACAATTTGCATATTAGTCTTTTATTATGTAGGATATACACTGAGTGGCCAGATGATTATGCGTTCAGAGATCATAATCATCTGGCCGCTCAGTGTATACTTCTTTGTCTATTCCACAGCACCTAGCCCAAATGAAGCACTCACTGTCAATATTAGCTGTTGCCTCATCCACTTATTATGTAAAGGGAAGCTCTTTTTACAATGAAGATTTAGATGATTTAAACTGCTGGCTACTCGACCCTTAAACTAAGTATGACAAATGAAGCAAATGAATACATAGCACTAATGAGGAGGTTATATCCAAAACTAAAGAGAAAGGTGGTTTAAAGGTGGCTCCACAAACTAGAACAATGTAAAGCTAGATATCTGCTATACTGATCTGAAGCTTGCTTCGTCCTCATACCTATACTGTGGCTTTGCCGCGTTTTTAACAGCATTATAACTACATTTTGAAATGAGGATCTGTCTTCATAGAGAAGTATGGCAGCTATAAAGAGAAATATCATGTATGCAGGCTAAAAGTTGGCCTGACCAAGAAATTCTTTAGAGACTCATTTATTTATATCTTTTGGCAAAGCAGACCTGAAGTAGGAGCGGTAAGTTAAGGAATGATAGTCGACATTTGAAAAGGAAGATCCACTGGGTAGGAAACAAATCCTTCTTTACAGGATGGTTTCAAAGGAAAGGTTTGCCTGCAGCCCGCATTGCGGTACCCATGGCTACCTACCCGCCCCAATGTGGCTCCGTGGAGGCCGCTGCACTATGTATAGAAAGACAAGTTGAGTGGAAGATGAGTTATGTAAATTTACATTGACTGAGGATCCTGGTGGAGCATTTAGGAACTCTGATTATTAAAAACAAACCTAGGATTTTCTTACATTCAAAAGCAATGAAAAGATGAATGCTAATTTGCTATAGTCTTAGAATGGCATCTGGATCCGCCCCCAAAAAGAACATTATTAACATTACAGTAAGTTACTTGCAGGTAGCAGCCATTTTGTGGATGTGAGAGGAAATATAGAGTGTTTTAAACTGGAAGTTTATATTTTAATATTTGTTTATTAAAAAAAACACACAAAAATAACCTGATGGTACCAAAAATGTCACACTTTCCATAAACCTGTTAACATAGAAGCCTGAAATGTTCTCCGCTCCAGGTGGAGGGCTTTCATTTTAAAAATATAAAACCTAGCTTAAAGGCAGAGGATTAGAAAAACAACAAAGACCAGAAAGCCTTTAGCTCTTCTCAAAGAAGACCTTTTCTGTTTTTGTTCAAAGATGGGCCATCGAAATAAACACCTGAATAAGGATGCTTAGCCTGACGCTACACACTTAGCAATTTGATAAACTCGGGTTTGCTGAAATTGTTAACGAAAGCAGAATGAAACTGGTATTTAAATTTTTTTCTTCGTGAAACGTTACTCAATACGTAATTTAACAAGCTGTCATTTTAAATGAATCTTTCCCTGCTCAGACACATTGGGAAGGCAGCTAAGTCGTTCAATCGCCCACTCACCTAACAACAACAACAACAAAAGACATGTCTTGCTACATATCAGAAAGGTGGAGGGTGCAGCACAATTCACAGAGAAGGTTCTTTTTTTTCTTTTTTTCTTTTTTCTTTCCACTCGCCAATATCAGAGCACTTGGAATAAATGGGGGGAAAGCACTGTCCTATCAGAGTCAGAAACCTGGGTGAATATGAAATGCCTTGTGTTTATCGCCACTCTTAATTCCCAAGTACGTATATTTCAACCATCTACAATCCAGGGGGGAATACCCAAGGCTCTTTCCTTGTGCTAGACGGAGAACCCCTGTGCAGACAGACAAAGGACAGCTTGAGGATACCGGGTGTCCATATTTAGCACTGACACAGCACTTCCGTCTGCAGCGCGCCTTACAAACGTTAGCCAATTAAGAGGAGCCACGGCCCTGCAAGGTATTTTAGCAGGATGCAGAGATGAAAACCTACAAGCAACGCAGCCAGGATGCATAAATCATGAGGTGTTAAATCAACATGACCCAAAAACCAGCAGGGCTCCCTCCCCCTCTTCTTGCCAGGACTGTCTTTTGGAAAAGGGAGTAAGTTAGACTTTATGCCGAGTGATGGTGGTGGTGGTGGTGGTGGGGACATGTCTGGGTGGGAGAACGGAGATGAAGTTCTCAGGATCACATTTGCAAAGGGGCAATGTTCTACGAACGCCGAGAACAGGCTTCGAGGCTCTCACCCTTTTAGCCGCACCTCAGAGGATAGGAAATCAATGCAGTGTTTAATTAATCTACTGCGGATGGACTTCCCATGGAGGAGCCCCAACCTGGAGAGGGTCACGCTGGGAAGTCGGACAGGGCACAGCAGGAGAGGCAGGGAGGCAGGGAGTGGCCAGTGGTACAACGGGCCACTTTTTGTCCTTTCAGGGCTGGGGGAGGGCATCGTGACTGGCCTGTGATCCGACTGCACAGGCTTCGCTCACCTGCTCTAGGATAGAGGTCTCTACCAGCCTTACACCGCCACGAGTGGGATCTGACTGGTAGCTTTGAGAGGAGGGATGGAGTGCCATTCAAAAGAGTCTCTGGTGTAGGGCTCTGGGTGAAGGAGACTGCGATTCTCAAAGCCGGTGCTAGAAAATGAAATGGACACAGAAGTGCTTCAGTGCAGAGTAAATGCTCAGTGGATTGTCATTCTCTCCTGACCGCCCAGGCATGCAACCGATATGGGGCAGGGACAGTTCTGTCTCAACCCCTGAAGGTCTGCCACCATTAGAAGCAGTTCTGGGGTGAGATGCCCTCTACTAGCCCCAGGTGGCACTGTCCATGAGCCGCATGAGCTATTGAGCACTGGCACTATGGCTCATCTGAGCTGAGCTGTCCCTGTAAACTGCTCACCAAATTTTGAAGATTTCATTTTTAAAAATATATATATTTTATTGATTTTTTTACAGAGCGGAAGGGAGAGGGATAGAGAGCCAGAAACATCGATGAGAGAGAAACATGGACCTGCTGCCTCCTGCACAGCCCTCACTGAGTTTGCGTCCGCAACCAAGGTACATGCCCTTGACAGGAATTGAACCTGGGACCTTCCAGTCTGCAGGCCAACCTTCTGTCTCAACTGGTTCCGGTGAGATTTCGTTTTTTAAAAGAGTCTCTAGTTTGGCCTTTGTGGCCAGTGATTGAATGTTGACCTATGAACCAGGAGGTCACGGTTCAGGCTACATGCCCAGGTTGTGGGCTGGATCCGGCGTGGGGGGCATGTGGGGGGCAGCCAGTCAATGATTCTCTCTCATCATTGATGTTTCTATCTCTTTCCCTCCTCCTTCCTCTCTGAAAACAATTTTTAAAAAAGTCTAAAATATTTTATTAATAATTTTAATGTTTATTACATATTGCAATGAGGATACTTTTAGACATATTGTGTTAAATAAAATATATTCAAATTAATTCTACCTCTTTTTACTTTTCTAAAATGTGATAAAGGGAGACTTAAAGTTACGTACGGAGCTTACTTTTGTGGTTCACATTTATGTTTCTGTTGGATGTTGTTGCCCTAGAACACGACTCTCAAATATCTTGGTTCACACACTGTCAGTTTTTAAAAAGTTTAAGAAAACACCCTCAAAATACATATTCTTATTTATAAGTACACATTATGTACATTAGGAAACATACAAAAATAGAAAACAAACATATGAATAGAAGTTCTAACATCCTTTTCCCATACCCAATGATCACCACATGTACCCTGAGGGTGTGTACATGCCCCTTTGGAAATTGCTACCTTAGAAGTGGCTCTTGGCCCTGGCCGGTTTGGCTTAGTGGATAAAGCATCGGCCTGCAGACTGAAGGTCCCAGGTTTGATTCCGGTCAAGGTCATATGCATGGGATGCGGGCTCAATCCCCAGTGGAGGGCTTGTAGGAGGCAGCCGATCAATGATTCTCTCTCAACATTGATGTTTCTATCTCTCTCTCCCCCTCCTTTCCTCTCTGAAGTCAATAATAATAATAAAAAAGTTGCTCTTGAGGCAAAGGACCCACTTATCACACTCCTACGCTCCTTTGAGGAGTAAGGGAACTGGATGATTATAATTTGAGAGAAACAAAATTACCAGAAAAATTGTAACAATGTTCAGATTATACAAGTACAACCAAAGTAAAATATTACAAATATAACAACACAAGTTAAAAGATATATAAGAGGCCAACAATAGGCTCCCCTGAGTTTCAGCTGAAGAACTGGAGGGTGGGCAAGTGGAGGAGGGGCCAATGAGATCTAGTCCGGAAGCTAACTCTTCATAGAACTTCACAGAAGGATAGGAAGATGGCAATTGTTTGAAGCAAAGATTATAGGGGTGGGACTGAGGCATGCCCTAGTTCCGTGGTCGGCAAACTGCAGCTCGCAAGCCATATGTGGCTCTTCCACAAAATACTACAGCCTGGGCGAGCCTATTTTGAAGATGTGGTGTTAGAAGTTTAAGTTTAAAAAAATGTGGCTCTCAAAAGAAATTTCAATCGTTGTACTGTTGATCGTTGGCTCTGATGACTAGTGAGTTTGCCGACCCCTGCCCTAGGTGCTCTTTGGTACCTTCTTCACTCACCACCAACCCCCATGACAGTAAAGAGGGCTGGGTTTCTAAACGTTTATACGAGGAGAGGGAAAGGAAAGTGCCAAGAAATAAGAAAGTGGAGAAGGAGCCCTTGCCGTTTTCAGATTCTGTGAGCAGGGGCATGGAGTCAAGGGCATGTACCTTGGTTGCAGGCACGTCCCCAGTAGGGGGTGTGCAGGAGGCGGCTGGTTGATGTTTCTCTCTCATCGATGTTTCTAACTTTCTATCCCTCTCTCTTCCTCTCTGTAAAAACAAAAGATTTGAGGGCAGCAGTGAAAGATTCTTCTGCCCACATTTGGTCCAGGAATTTAAGAGATTAGGCTTGAGCATAGGGATTTACATTGGAAACCAGAGGACCTGCCTCATATATATATTTTTTTAAATAAGTTTTTATTGTTCCTATTATTACAAATGTTCCTTTTTTCCCCCCCACCATTGCTCTCCTCCACCAGGTTCCCACCCCACCCTCTGCCCTTTCCCCACTCCCCATTGTCCTCATCCATAGGTGCACAGTTTATGTTTAGTCTCTTCCCACGCCCCCCTCTCCCCTTTTCCCCCTGCCTCATATATTTTAAAATACATGAGACCATCTCTTGCATGACCTTAGGGAGGGGGAGCATATCATGACTGATATTAATTTTCTGGCAGGAGAATTATCTGAATGAGAGAATCATGGAAATGTAACAAGCTTTATAAAAATTTTCTTAATTAATAAATGTACATAATTATATCTTTTAAAACATTAAATAGAAATGAAAATAAAAGTCCCTTATCCCACCTCCACACTCCAGATTCCCACCTCTCAGGAACCTGCAACTTTTTAAGCTGCTTTTTCTTGCATTTACCTCCAGAATTCTAAGTAAGGTATTCTTACTGCTTCTGAGGATTTTTAGTTTTATATATTACCTAAGGACTTCTTACTATGGGAGATGACAGTGCGACTCTCTTACACACACACACTTTACCCCCCTTCTAGTTATATCCCAGTTTCATAACTTTGGTTATTAGCAGAGTTAATTATTACAACCACGCCAATGTTATTCACAGCAGAGCCAGATCGTGTATGATGGTTTCCCTTTTTTGAACGACTTACTGTTTGGTTTTTTTCTAGAATGAATAAGCGCCTTAAAAACCTTTGCTTAGTTTTCTAAGTTACTGATGTATCATCACTCATTCATCTTCAAACTGCCTCACTGCACAGTAGGGCTTCCTCACATGCTCACGCGATAGGAAATGAGTCCCTTCTCTGGCGTCTCTCGCCCTGCACCAATCTGGGCTGGAATAAACTCGTCATCCTGGGGCTTCCCTTTACCAGCAGCTTCACATTTCCCTTATCTTTTGCAATTTTTTTTGCTCTCGTGGTTTCATGATTACTTTATTTATTGACTTCCTTTTTTATGAGGGTTAAGGAAGGTACAGACTTTTTTTTCTCCCCCCCCCCCCAGGAGGGCTGCTTATTGGGTGGTGGGAACAGGACATTTTCCAACCTCAGTCTTGTGGAGTAAAAGTCATAGCAGCCTCACAGAAACAAACCACAGCATCGGAAAACCATGACCAGTGCAACCCCAGGGACAACGGAAGGGAAATGCCTCTACCAACTGGAGCTGACTCCGACCACCTGCGTGGCCCTTGGACTTCATGGTAGAATGCAGTCCTCTGAAATGCTGGTAACGCACTGATTTTGTTCTATAAACGCCGGATTGGAATAATTTGGAACAAATTATTTTTTTAAGCTCTGGAAAGTAGCTCTTGGTCATATGAGAAAGTAAACACATACGATTGTGGGTCATTCATTCCAAGGCCAAAAGCAACTCCTGTGGCCCAAAGTGGAACATTTTGAGCAAAACCAAACTATAATGGATTGAGATATGTAAAATATGCTTAAATACAGGGGCTCATCGGGACATACAAAAAAACAACAAAAAACTCCTTGGTTATATTTGGACGATACTCATTATTCTGAAAACTGGTAAAAAAAAAAAAAAAAAAAAAAAAAAAAAAAAGGGGGGGGGCAGTGGGAATCAACATTTTGCCTTTTCTGAAAAACAAACAAGCTATCCCTAAAGGTAACCAATAGATGGTAAGAGAGAGAAAGTTCTTCTAAAAAAAAAAAAATTCAGCTAACAAAAGAGGATGGAGTAAATTACATTACAACCCCTACTGAAATAATGGTTCTTGGGAATCATCATCAGTGGCTACTGAAATCATTTGCTGAGAACTTTGTAATAGACTAGTGGCCTGGTGCATGAAATTCAGTCCAGCCTGCACCCTCTTCAATCAGTGACCCTGTGGGGGATGTCCAACTCGAAATCTGGGACCGCTGGCTTGCAATCTGACCGCATGCTCACCTGCCTGCCTGCATGGTTGCCCCTAACTGCTTCTGCCTGCCTAATCACCCCTACCTGCCCTCTCCTGCTGGCCTGATCTCACCCCCAACTGCCTCTGCCTGCCTGATCAGCCCCAACTGCCCTCCCCTAATGGCCTGATATCACCTCCAATGGCCTTAAAACCCCTCCTCAGCCCCCACCTTAGGCTCTGCCTTTGCATTTCACCCAGATTAGGTTCTGATTGGTGGGCTTCTATGCCAGTTAGCATCTCTGGGCCTATCTCCGGGCCTGATCAGTAGTCCCTGCCGAGGCCCAGAGAGAAAGAGAGGCACACTGCTGGCCAGGACTAGAGAGAAGGAGAGAGGCAAGGGCTAATCAACCACTGCCATGGAGGCTACGGATCAGACCCTGCTTCTCTCTCCAGGTCTCCCTCTCTGGGCCTGTTCTGCAGCCCTCTCAGCAGTCAGTGCTGGGTTGCCACGGCAAGTACTGACTTCCGGTGTTCGGTGGAGCCTTCAGTTGTTAGGGTCACTGCCTTTTTATATAGATCAATAAATATATCAGGCTGAAAACACTGATCAATGTTAATATTACAAAAAGGAGAGACAAACACATTATGTGATATAAATAAGAAGTATACAACATTGCCAATAAAATATTCTTCCCAATAAATCACTTGAATGTGATCCATTC